AAAAGTTGCCAAACGTATATAAAAGTTGAATAACATTGGCATGGAACAATCAAAAATTATAGATACGGCGGAGACGTATCAGGAGACAACAACACTAAATACTTTCATGCAAAAGAAAATGGGAGACGTAGGAAAAATAAAATAACAATGCTGGATCAAGAAGATGGGAAGGTAGAAGGAGAGGAAAACTTAATTGATTATATTACAAATTTCTATAAAAACCTGTTTGGAGTGGCAGACACTTCTAGCATATCATTGTGTATTGATAATCCCAATAAGATACTTCCAGATTAGAAAGATATGCTGATTGGGGAATTTTCCTTGGAGGAAATTAAGACAGCTGTCTTTTAGATGGCACATAACAAATCCTCGGGTCCAGATGGATTTACTACTGAATTTTATCAACATTTCTGGGATCTGATTAAAGAGGATCTCAAACATATGTTTGATGACCTATATGTTGGAACCCTAGATATCAGAAGACTGAATTATGGCATCATTACCTTGGTGCCAAAAACCAAAGAAGCAAATCAGATTCAGAAGTTTAGGCCAATTTGCTTGCTGAATGTTAGTTTCAATGTTTTTTACAAAAGTCTTGATGAATAGACTTAATCTTGTGGCTGGCTCTATCATATCTCCAATATAGACAACCTTTGTTAAGGGTAGATATATCATGGAGGGGGTGTTGGTTTTGCATGAAACGCTTAATAGTGTGCATGTCAAGAAACAGAGTGCCTTATTGTTGAAAGTGGACTTTGAAAAAGCGTATGATAAGATTAAATGGCCTTTTGTGATGCAAATGCTAAAAGGAAAAGGTTTCCCTGCTAAATGGATAGATTGGGTCATGAGTACTATTAGAGGGGGTAAAGTGTGTGTCAAAGTTGATGAAAATTATGGTCCTTACTTTCCCACTCATAAAGGGCTAAGATAGGGGGATTCTTTGTCCCCCTTAATGTTTAACCTAGCAGCAGATGCCTTAGCTATCCTGATGGATAATGCAAGAAAGGCTGGTTTGATCAAAGGACTACTGGCTGATACTATAGAAGGGGGAGTTAATATGTTACAATATGCAGATGATACCATTTTTTGTTGCAAGATGATTATGAAAGTGATTGCAATTTAAAATACATATTATGTATGTTTGAACAAATGTCTGGCTTGAAGATTAACTTCCACAAGGGTGAGGTATTCTTCTTTGGGGCAACTGTTGATAAAAGGCAGGAATACTCCAGAATATTCACTTGTCCCGTGGGAGAATTACCTATGAGATATTTAGGTCTCCCAGTTGATAAGAAAATAATTAAGAATAAAGACTGGAAACCTTGTGAAAATAAAATGGAAGGAAAATGTGGGACTTGGCAAGGGAGGTTGTTAGCTAGTGCTGGGAGATTGACTTTAATACAATCCTCACTGACTAGGATTCCATACTCCATGATGTCATTTTATGGGCTGCCTGTGGGAGTGGAAAAGAGAATGAACTTTTTCAGGGCTAGGTTGTTATGGCAAGAAAGTAATGACAAGCAAAAAAATCACTTGGTAAGATGGGGAGAGGTGTGTAAACCAAAAGATATGTGTGGTTTGGGTATTCATAATCTAGATTTTATGAATAAAGAATTGCTATGCAAATGGTGGTGGAAATTTTATAACACAAATGGGGTGTGGTAGAGGATTCTGAGACATAAATACACTAAAAAACTTGCATTACCAGTGTTAAAAGTAGAAAAGGTGATTAACAATTTTGGGGAGAACTAGTGAAACACAAGAACTTTTTCTTTTCTTTATGCAAATTTGAGATAGGCGATGGGGAGAACACCAGATTCTGGGAAGGTTGGTTGATTGGCCCTAATGCTTTAAAAGATAGTTATCCATGCATCTTCAACATATGTTTTGATAAGGAAAAATCAATGGCTCACGTTTTGAAAAAAGGGCTTGATAAAATTAGCTTTAGAAGATCGCTATGTGGAAAATCTCTGCATTTATGGGAGCACATAAGAGAGGTATGTGAGAGTGTGACGCTTGATGAAACCCAAGACAAGATTAAATGGACTCTGTCTGGAGATGGTAAATATACTGTCAAAACATGTTATAGATACCTGAACCAAAATGGGCTACATTATCCATACAAATTCCTATGGAAAACAAAAATGCACCCCAGGTGTTGGGGAACATAGTATTTCAAAAAAAATCCTATGATCATGCAACATCTATCTAGAAGAAGCATAGCAACGAGCGGGGAGAGTGTGTCCACGTACCATCGTAGACCGAAAGCGGAAGCGTTTAGTAACACGGCTGATGTAGTTGAACGTCTTGGCGATCCAACCGATCAAGTACCGAACGCACAGCACCTCCGCGATCTGCACACATTCAGCCCGGTGACGTCCCTCGAACTCTAGATCCAGCTGAGGCCGAGGGAGAGTTTCATCATCACGACATCGTGGTGACGGTGATGATGAATTTACCGACACAGGGTTTCACCTAAGCACTACGACAAATATGACCGAGGTGGAAAACTGTGGAGAGGGGCACTGCACACGGCTAAAGATCAACTTGTGTGTCTATGGGGTGCCCTCTTCCCCCGTATATTAATGAGGGAAGGAGGAGGCCGGCCGACCACATGGGGCGCGCCAAGGCGGGAGGAATCCTACTCTTAGTAGGAGTAGGTTTTCCCCTTTTGTCGAGGGGATGAACCCCAGGCAGGCAACGGAAACCGGATCTATTTCAAAAACAGCGGGGGCCGCATTGCCCCGCAAACTGGCGTGCGCCAGGCCAGGTCGCTCGACCCGGCAAGGCGCGCAACACGGCCAAGACCCTCGACTCGGCAAGGTATGTCGACCCGGCCGCAGCGGCTAGCGCAAGGCAACTCAACCCGGGGCAACCTTGGCTTCCCCAGCAAGCCAACCCACCCGTGGCGTCCGCGGCAACCAGCCACGGGTCAGCTCCCGTCCCATCCAGGCCGTACGATGGGACGAGACCCCAATCACTGATGACCAAGACTATGTCGGATTTCGGGTTCCGGCAGACCCTTAAGGTTCGAACTCTGGGGTGCACGCGGAGATCACACCTCCTACCTACCCATGTCTCGCCGCCTCGCAAGGATCTAAACTACACGAAGAACAACACAAGGGACACGAGATTTATACTGGTTCGGGCCACCATTGTGGTGTAATACCCTACTCCAGTTTGAGGTGTGTGGATTACCTCAGGGGCTGATGGTGAAGAGTACAAGGAAGAACAACCTCGCGACACTACAACAAAAACTCCCCTATACCAACGCATATCTACCAACGATATGATAAGATGTGTTGTTTGTTTCCACCTCCCACGCCCACCTCGCCAGTTTAGTGCTAACCTCCTCCTCGTTCCTAAGGCCTTGTTCGGTTGAGGCGGTTTTGGAAGGGGATTGGCAGGGATTGAGGGGGATTAGATCCCCTACAAGTCAAAATCCCCTCCAATCCACTCTAATCCTCTTGAGAGGAGGTTTAAACGAACAAGGCCTTAAGCATCTAACCTCCCCGCGTACCCACCTCCTCCCAGATTTTTCTATCCCCAATCTCTCTCTCTCTCATCCCCAATTCGCCTCTCAGCCGAGCTCCATGACCACGCCGCTGCCTCGGCACCACCGATTCCGGTAAGCTCCGGTGCTCTCCCGCGAAGTTTCTCACCAGTCTGTCTGTCCCTCGGCGCTCTCCACCGCCCCTGCGCCGCCGCGACGTCCTCCGCCCCCCCTACCGCAACCCTACTGTTCGCCGCGGGTCGCCGGCGCGGCTGCCGCGCCTCCTCTGGTTTCTCGCTTGGTCTCGGCGGTGTTGCTCTGCCTCGGCTACCTCACCTCCGACATTGAAGGTTTAGTAAGGCACTCTCCTCTACCCGTACTCTCTCTGGTGCTTTGTGAGGACATGGCCATCATGCCATGGTCGATTCTTTATTGGCAATCACGACTGTGATCTAAACTACCTTATCATTTGCCTGATGCACTACTACTTGCGCTCGCCTGTACCTGTATCCACGTCGCCCCACAGTCTTGAGTTCTCTATTGTACACTCAAATACAACTGCCTAGTGTTAGCCATCGTCGTATTGTACATCACAGCTGGATAAGAACCCATCACGGTCAGTGATCTTGCTGGCTGTCCAAATATTCAGTTCATTTAAGTTTTGGGCTTGCATTATACATAGAGAAAGAAGTTTAGAGCAAAAAACAACAACACTGTATATCAGTTCAGTATTACAAGAGAACAATATGGTACATTAACAACCGAGGATTTCTTTTAAAAGTGTGTACACCATGACATAGTTGTCACATATTCCTACCCTGATTAGTGATAAATAAAATTGATAAAGACTAAACAGTTTAAGGTGGATTACTGAAACGTTTTTATGTGTGTTTTTTAGAGAACTAATTACAACTGAATCAACTACAGATTCGATGTCAACTGGCAAAAGCAATTAGGAAGAAAGGATTGTCAATGCAGTTCGGATAAGTCAGCCAGTGAACCATATTTTCTAGAAAAGAATGGGCAGAAATGTAACAGGACCTAGCAAATATTGAGGCTACTTGAGTATAAAAAGACTGAGTCATAAATTTGGACTGCAACCTGTCCCAGGAGCATTCTGACAAGTTATACCACTGCGTACAAATTCTAATGAAAACTATGTAACTTGTTCAAAATGCAAAAATCAGATTATGTTAACTATGTAAACTTTGCTGAAAATCATTTTCCTTTTCGAAACGCACTTAGCATATCTTTTTTCTTTCATGAATACGCAAGTTGCATATCTTTTCATTGATAGAAGGAGAGTACAAGCATGAGGTTGCAACGCTTACAAGGCCATATACACGTTAGGCATGGTGTACAAACGTAGGAGCAGACTAGAACAAGGGGGTTAATTTGCTCAGCCCCAAAACAAAAAACTGGGAACTACGCACCGGGGATGATGTTTTGTATCCCATTGGCGCCAGCCTTAGCCCATAGGCACACCTCTTCCTTCATGGTATCGGAGATGAGGGTGAGCGATGGTCTGGCTCCGTCGAAGATGCATGCGTTGCAGTGCTTCCAGAGCCACCGTGCACATGGAGGCCGGCGCGTGGTCGTGGGAAGAGCTCTACCAAGTCTGGAAGGGCGTGTTGGGGTTGGGGAGGTTGACCGCCGCACGAACCCAACCGAGGTTCTCATGCCAAACTTAACATATCTATTACTTAGTATATCCAGTTGTGGTGCATTATATATGTTTAAATTTTCTTGCTGCTATGTGCACAGATGAGTCCTTACCTATTTCTTTGTCACAGTTCTGTAATACTATAGGAATAAGTATCACATGCATCCATCCCTAATCTCAGCTTCCCTTACAGGTTCTGAAATTGACCTTGCTTCGGCCAACATGCGTGTGGTCGTTCTGTCTCTTAGCAGGTAAACTGATACACCATAATCCTGAATTTAATATATTTCATTTGGCTCCATCGTATGTACAATTATATACACTATAATCTTAGTTTGGGAGCAGTTCTTGCATTATCCAAGATAAAGCATTGCAGAATCAGTAGAATATTAAGATGACACTCGCACGAATATTCTAACATGTGTTTGCATGAATCGCAACTAAATAAGATGCATTGCTGAACCTCTCTTCCCACGTCTTTTTTTTCTTAACTCATCCCCATGTCTTGTTATTGTAAGTAGCGAATCAATTTATTTTTATTTTTCTGTAAACATCCTGAATTCCACCGTTTCTAGAAACAGAACTCCCTATTTTTTTCCTAGAGAAGCCCGAAAAAACCATGGTTCACGGCTGGGGCTCAGCACATCTGAATCTCCGCTTGTGGTACATGTCCCCATATCTGTTCAGGGTGGCGCTACAAGATCAAATCGAAACGAGATCACATGGCAGCTCAGTCTGGTATGTACATCATTCCCAACTGCTAATTAATTATTCTGTGATGTCTTCTCGTTTACTAATCAGAGCATGCTCTTGTCTGTACTAATTAGATCATGCATTCCTTCAAGGGCCTAGGTAGGTGTCATGACGAGCACAAGTGGATTGGATAGTTGTCCTCCCCCCCCCCCATTCTCCCCTTATGTTCCTTATAGTTCATTGTTTTTCGTGTTGTTGCTTCTGCAGGTTCTGAAAATTCATTCATAGGAAATTCTAACGCGTGACTATACATAATTTTGTATTTTCCAGAGGTCTCGACATTGTATTTTCCATAATTTGAAAATACTATCATTTAATTTGGAGCTGATGCAAGATGCCAAATTTATTTAGTACATGGTTATAAGTTGCATAATCTGCAATGTTGTTTAATAAACTCATGTTGAAAACGTTCTTGCCTTTAGATTATTATAATTAGCCCCACATCTATATCTATATCAGAGTCTTCTTAAATCACATTTGCGAGCATTTATCACACTACCTAATTTAGGTACATCCAAATCTAGCCTGGTGTGAATTATTTTCTTTGAACATAAAGTATTTTTGAATTGTGGAAACCTTGCATCTATTTGTATTTTCTGGAAAGCTGCAGATCTTTCTTTGAAAACGAAGGATCTGTGATATGTCAGCACATGTTTTTCTTCAAAGGAGGTACCTCATTTCTTACATAGTATGTTCATTTCAAGGTTTAACTCAATTAACACACAACAGATTTGTTCATAAGAAAGCAATGATCAAAAGTATTTGTCGGATGTTGGCTGTTACTCTCCTTTTCTGCGTACAAAGCTGCTATAATGTCATGGCATTCAACTTCTGTATGGTGCCCCTCTACATTTTGTTGCTCTATTAACCTGATTTTCTCTACCGTAAGTTACTCATGTCATTTTTCGTTTCATGGCTCAGATGTTGATTGCAAGGCCAAGAATGGGGTTACTATTAGTTAATTAGAATGTCATTTTCACGATCAATGTTTCAAACATTGTAGTAGATTGCAAGGTCAAAAATTATGACAAAACTAGATAGTTTCGCATCTTGTAATCTTTGGATCATGTTCTATGCAACGCTACACAATCAAATTAATATATGAGGAAGGTTTATTATATTGTGGCTCCTATACAGTATTGATGTTGACCAAAAAATTCTGGATGGCAATATATAAATATCATCAATCAATCATGATATTTAGCAAAACCTCTATAGTAGTTGCAATGATATAACATATGATTGTGCAGGGTCGTAACATATGATTGTGCAGGGTCGTCACCAACGCATCTGAAGTGTTGTTGGGCTCAACTCTATATGTTGCTACCTTACAACGCATCTACATGCCGTTTACCAACGAATGTGTATATGTTGTTGTAGACCTTAGCAACGCCACCAATGACAACGCATAGTAATCCGTTGGTGTAGACCATAGCAACACATATATGTACATACGACAACGCATCGATGCGTTGCTGAAGGGGGGTTCTTGTTGTAGTGCGAGGGTCTGTTCTTGGTTGGTGCGATGAACTGCTAGGGGGAGTTCAGTCACTTCTCTCTCTCTCTATCTACGTCTCAGATGCGGATCCGATGCCTCTACCCTGAGGATGGCTAGTCCTATTCATAGGTGGAGGCCCTGGGCCTCTCCCCAAATATTAAGCGGGAAGGGCGCCAACAGTTGGCCATTTTGAAGGGGAACCTCTAGTACACTTATCCTGACTAAAGTTGGTCCTCGCCTGCCAAAGGCCCTGACGATGACGCCGGCTTGGGCTCCACGATGACCTCCATTCTGCTGTCCTGCTGGTCTTGGTCTTGTTGCACCGAAATGGTTGCCTTTGCTTGATACTCTTGCCTGCGCTCGCCCCCTTTTCACCAAAGAGGAAACAAGGACTGCGCAGGCCGGCGCCCGCCTGGCCTTGGTCATCATGGCTTGCGTCATGGGCACCTCGTGAGGTACCCCACCTTGATCTCTCCGCCTCCTCGCAAGCCAGCCTGACGAGGCCGTGCCTGAGAAGTCTCCTGTCGCCCGCCCCGCGAGGCTTGGCCCCTCGCGAGGGTCTTGAGCATGCGTTGATGAAGATGGGCCGTACTGGGCCACTCCTTGAGCCATGCCGCAGGCCGCAGGCAGGCAAGTCTGGGTACCATCGTTCCCAGAACGCCGACAGTAGCCCCCGGGCCCAAGGCGCGCCCGGACTTGGCTTAGCAGGGAAGCGAAGGGGCAAGTGCGAAGCGCCGCAGGCCCCAATAGCCTGCAGCCTTGGGCGCCGCGTGGCGGTTGATTGGACGTGGGCGTCGTGGTTCCCCCACGACGCCTCGGCAACTGCACGAGTTGACAAGTCCCTGCATGCAAAACGGGTCATGATTACCTGTGATCGTGGAGGCCGACGGTTGGCCTTCCTCGGCTATATGTACGGAACGGCACGAGCTCTTCCAATCCATCTCTTCCTGCTACTCTTTGTTTTCCTCTTCGTCCTTGCTCCTCCCTACGCCAATGGCACTGATCCGTTGGTTTTCTGCCGAAGAGAAGGGGAAGGCCCCCCGAGAGAGTCATGTCCCGCTTCCTCCGAAGAAACGGCTCGTCTCTTGCCATGTGGCAGGAGGTGCTTGGCAGAAGGTGTCAAGGCCATGGTTCGAGCGGCCGCCGCCGAGATTCCCACTTCCCTTGTACGCTCGGATCGAGGGTCCTGAAGACGCTGGCGCCGAGCGACATCGCCATAGGTGCCGTCGCCGCCGGCGGATCACGGCGGTGCGCGTCGTTCCTCCAGGAGTTCACGCTGTGGGTTCTTCTTGCGAGCTCGTGCTTCACGCCACCATGCCTCCTAGGTCTTGGATCCGCCTCCCTCCTTCCTTTGCCTTCGAGATCCCGCCGAGGGGGCCTATCAAGCTTTGGATGCCGCATGCTGACTGCAGTACCCCTGCGACCAAAGCGGAGGTCGAGGTCGTCGCTTCGGGCAGGGTCTACCTGACCCGTGGCTGGTGCGAGATCGCCCAGGTCTGCAGGACGGGTGGCGCCCTCGCAATCTACCTCGAGTACGACGGCGCCTCCCTGATGTTCTTCAAGGTCTTCGACGCGGAGGGACGCTGGCTGGAGTGCTGCCCTGAGAAAGGCGGCCGGGGCCCTGCCGCGGCGAGGACTAGGCTCATCAACCGCTTCCCCAGCAGCTCCTCAGGCAGCGGAGGTGTCGGAGGATCCAGCGACTCCATCGAGCTCCTCGCGACGACAGTTACGAGCTCCCGAGCTTGCGTCGCTCTCGGAGCAGGGCGGGCTCGTCGGGCCGCCGTCGCCAAGGATTTGTATGGGGTTGGCGCCGGTGGCTGACGGCCCACTGTTGATGATGGCGTCTCTTGCGGAGGCGCGCGTAGTTAGCACTCTTTAGGGTTTGCTCCTTTTGTTCCCTACGAGGAATCGAAGAACACACCCCGCAGGGGTTTGTAAGGTGCTTGTAGTTCCATTTGCTAATATGATCCTTATCATGAAGCGGTGGGGGATGCTCGTCCCGTCTTAGCTTAGTTCCTCCTTTCAAACCCCGTAAGGACTCGATGCTCTGCGCTGACAGGTCCCGGTCCCAAGGCAGGCTTCAGCCGTCGCTGGTATGCCAGGTCGTGATGACGTGGTCAAGGCCAGGAGGTGAGCGGCCCGGGGTCCAGTAAGAGACCATGAGTCGCGATGCTCAGGAGGTCCCCCTTAGCGCTCAAGCAGCCATCGTTCAGTGAGAAAGGAGCGCGACGTTGCCAAAACGGAACTGCATTAGGTGCGAGGTTGGTGCTATGATAGCTAGTGTTTCCGGAGGATGACTTTTCTCGGGGGTCAGAAACCACTCCTTGGCGCGGCGTCGAGCCCGCGCGTTGACAGCCGAGGAGTTGCCTGGTGAGGTCCCCACGTGCCTCTTCCCTCTCGCCTTTGCTCCCCCTTGTGCTCTACGTCCTCGGGTCCCGGCCCTCGAGTGGGCTCAGCCATCGCTGGTATGCCAGGTCGCGATGCCTTGGACAAAGCCAGAGGGTGAGGGCTGGAGAGCCAGTAAGAGCCCATGAGTCGCGATGCTCAGGTACCCCCCCCTTTAACGTGCAAGCGATTCGCATGGACGAGAGCGAAGGAGACGCTGCGGAGGCCTTGCCCGATGCTGCTCCTTAAAGCGATCCTGCAAGTTCATCATGAGAAAAGAGAGGGTTTGCCGTTACAATTGCCGGCCAGCTGCTGGTTGCTCTAGGAAGGTGACGAGGCACTGAAGTCTTGGTGAGGTGGCGCCCTGTGGGGTTGCCGCGACCAGAGCTCATCCATCCAGGTTTGTCAATGTTGCAGGGATGGACCCATGCGCAAGTGTCGTGCCGTGAGGGAGCAGCTCCATCAGTTGGTGTCAATCGAGCGTGCGATTAAGTCAAGCACGTTAATCATGAAGGAGCAAATCCATTTAGATAGACGTAGAAAAAGATGATCACCACTGGGTCGGGCCCGAGCGACTTTGGGGATGATGCAGCCCGAGGGGTGCCCCCGATGAAGTAAGCTGAAAACATGAACTAAAGGGATACATGCCGCAGGGACGAACCCACGCGGCCTGGGAATGATGCAGCCCTAGGGGGCGTTCCCAGCTGAAAATGAAACTCGAAGGATGTCACCTAATGATGCTGAAGATGGAGGGATGCTGAAGTAGCGGACGGCGTGCGCTGCGGGAGACGATCTTCACGAGTCCCCAGGCCCAGGGGCCTCGGGAGGCTCCGGAGGCGCTGGCGGCTCCTTGCGGACCATCTTCATCTCCGCCAGGACTACGGAGTGCCTGACCGCTTGAGCCTCCAAGATGCTCCTCATGAGGCGCTGACGCACAGCAGCCGCGTTCGGCAGGCTGTAAGGCATGCGAACATAGCTGTGGGGTGGACCTTCGCAGCGTCCCACGCGTGATGGCCAGAGGCGCTCCTGAGAGGAGGCTCGGTTGAGTCCTGGTATGTCGATGCAGACGCGCAGCCCACCATCCTCGCCTGGATGGGGAGCTACAGCGGGTAAGCGGTGGCTGCCACTCATGACTCTTGACTCCTGCAGCTCCTGAATGATCTCATCGACGAATTCCTGGGGGTTTGGCCCTCCTTGCCTTGCTCCTTCCTGAGGGAAACGTGCGTTGAAGCACGCCTCCAAGTGGTGCCAGAGCGCCTCCCTCGTGATCCTAGCAAAGTCGATGGCCCTCCAGAAGAGAGCCCCCGAGCCTTGCTCGAGGAGGGCGCCGGGCGTGCCTTCCTAT